GAATCCTGGAGATTTCCCTAAGGACAAAATGTCCAATTTTACAGGGGCTAAAGCCTGATTTTGGCTCCCAAGGCAAAGGCCGCAATTTTCACTTCAATGGCTTCTTCCCTACTCCGCAGTTGGTGATCAGGTGGTTCCAGGGAACCAATGCCACTGGCACCGGAAGTGGCCTGCAAAACTGCCAACAAGTCTTGGATATTTCAGATCCCCAGTTCTGAGGCGCGGGGGGCGAGAGACGAACGAGACCTGCTTGTGGCCTCCTCATCCCTCCCCGGGAATCCTTCCTGGTGGGTATGGCTGTCTTAGAAGAGGAACCGGGATAATCCAAGACCTGCTCTGAACTCTGAACCCCGGGGCGGGCCGGACCTCCACCAGCTGCCACCAGAGAGCAGGACTCAAGCAGCAGCCAGAGCTTCTGGGCATGCGCAGATCCCCTTCACCAAGGTGCCCTATGGGGATAGAGGGGCCGCCAGGGACGTCTATTTGCCTGCTACCCCAACCTAGCAAGACCGGATACAGCATAACCTAGGGCCTGCGCAAGTCCCACCCACAAAGAAACGGAGGAACTCCAAGCTCTCCCTGTCTTTCTTCACCAGCTGCACAAACGGCCAACTGGTCGATCCTACTTCCCTCGCCAGAAACGTTCGCGTCAGAAGTGTTTCTCGTTTCTCCACTGTCCCTCCCAAACTTTCAATCCAGGCGGCCCTTTTCCCAGTCAGTAGCACCGCCCCTGCTGGGCGGTCCAGCTGGGGTTGTCTGGTAGGGGGCGGTGCTGCCCTCGGTCGGGCCCAATCGCCGGCCGACTCGGTGGCCCGCCCACCCAGACGGCAGCCTGTCGGGGACCTCCCTCTCGTCGTTCCTGCGCGTCAGTGGCAAGGCCTCGGACGCGAGCCAATGGACGTGGGCCCTGCCCTCGGGCGCTCGGATCCGCCCGCTCGCCTTGGGAGAGTGCGGCCAGTACAGGGCCCGCGGGTCTCGGAGCCGCGGACGCGGGCCACAGAGGTCGGGTATGGCTTCGCCGCGGGACGGCGGTGTGGTGATTCTGGGCAGGTAAACCGTCTGGTGCCCCGGACCTGTGCCCCGGGCGCCGCGGCAGGATACTGGCTGGTTAGGACTCCGTGGTTCCCGGGATGGGCGACGGCGGCCGCCACTCTCCCTGCCTCAGAGCTGCTCTAGCCGCCTGCAGCCCGCCGCTGGAACCGCGGAGACGGGGCAGGTGTGGGCCGGTAGTCGGAGGTGTACAGGGGAACACCGATTTCTCCACGCACACTGACTGGAGTTGCGTGTGCCTCGGTTGGTGCTGATCTACAACGAGGTGCAGAAAGCCGACGGTGCGGCCTGAAGTTTAATATCCAGTTCGGTGAATTAACTGGACGATGCCGGACATAGGAGCAAGTGCATACAGAAGTGCACACATTATGTATTGACTAATGTTATTTGGCAACAATTCTACAAGAATTGTGTGCTTGTCATTCCCATTTTACGAATGACAAAAACCGAAATCAAGCAGTTTACCCAAGGCCACCGTCAGTGGGTGACAGAGTGGAGACTCATACCCGGCAATGCGGGCGCACCCATGCCAGGAGGCCGAGGCTACGCCCGGGGATGGGGGGTGGGGTGAAGGTGGGTGGGTGGGAGGGGAGGGGTCGGAGGGGTCGGTTCCTGTCCCTGGGAGTGAGCAGCGCGCAGACTTCAGGGCTGGAGCAGGTGCCCTGAGAACACATGAGGGGATTCCTAACTCTCGGGAAGAGCGGTGTTTCCAGAGGAGAAACAGTGGCGCCCAAAGAGTTTGTCAGGTTTTGTCAGTATAGTAGCCTAATTCTATCCAAGTAGATTTCTCTGTGCTCCCACCCCCTCTTTTAAAACTCCTATTATTTCCATTGTTTTAAAAAGGCATTCATCTGTACCTTCCAATTCGTAGGCATCACAGCAATCTATCAAAATGTTAATAGTTAGACGTCACTTTTTGATGACTGCTTTATGAATTTTTATGCCATTGAGGCGTTGGCCTGCCTGGCCTTCCCCTAGATCAGTTTACAACCCTGTCTAAAGGACAATTCCTGTGTCAGTGTTTTTTTATTTAGATAACACTGAAGGAAGGGTCAGGATGCTTTCTGTCAGCTTTCTTTGGCTCACAGAGCAGTGGAAATAACTGTGACTTTGTCCTTTCTGGGCATGTGGGTGCCTGTGGTTGTGTAGTAAATGCACTTTGTCCTGCAGTTATGGTAATTATTTATATCTGTCCTGCATTTTAATTGTCAAGGGTCAAGGACTAGAGTTTTGTGTATCTTCTATCATGCCTGGAGTAGTGTCCTACACCTAAGAGATGTTAAGTTTTGAGTTCATTGTAGTTGTCTGGTGGTTTAAGCTTCCAGTTGGAAGGAGGGCAGTCACAGTGAGAAGGAGCTGCGATTGCAGAGTCAGTTTATTTCTGATTCTTTGAGTGAGGTTGACAAGGAATTAGAAATGGGTTCACAAACTTTAATGACCACAGAAATTACCTGGGGCCTGGACTTGTTGGTTTTCTGGTATGAAAGTCCTGTCTATCCCTACACCCTCAACACTTCAACAGACACCCATTTCTGCTTCTGGGGTAGTGCTAGTTTCATCCATCCCTCCATCCTGCTGTCCCACCATCTTTCTTTCCTGGCTCTTTAGGTGATCCCAAAGAACACCCATTTAAAAAAAAAATCAGGTTGGAGAATGTAAATTAAATTGTTAAAACCTTGATTTCATTCTTGGATCTTAACAGATCAAAATATGCATCTTACAGTTTAAGGAGCTTATTGGGCCATTGTTTCTCCATCTTATCAGTTTCCAGACTCCCGCTTAAAAACTTGCCACAATAGAGTCTATATTTAATTCTTTTCTGTGGATCTTTTCCTAAAGGCCACTCTTTCTCAGGACATGTAGCTTTTCTATGAGCATCTCTCCAGAATAGCGGGCTTGATAGGATAAGAGTGTGTTTCTGAAGAATTAAGAGAAGAGAGATGCCTTGCATCTAGGGCCAAAAAAAAAACCACCCAAACCCGTTGCCATGGAGTCCATTCCAACTTACGATGACCCCGTAGGATAGAGTAGAACTGCCCCATAGGGTTTCTAAGGCTGTAAATCTTTACAGAAGCAGACTGCCACATTTCTCCCACAGAGCAGCGGGTGGGTTTGAACTGTAGGCCTTTCGGTTAGCAGACAGTGCTTCATCACTGTGCCACCAGGGCTCCTTTGATTTAGGACCATAGGAGCATAAAGAGAGGGAAAATCTGGAAATGACAACTTTGAAAAATGGGAGCAGAAATGGCTCTCGTTAAGACATACTTGCATTTGATGAGTGTTCTTCAGGCTTTCATTTACGTTAGTCTTACACTTCTACCCAAGAACTTTATATCACAGCTATATTTCTGAGTAGCTGAAATATACGTTATATTTATACTGCATTGTGTTTGTACAGTATATCCAAGTTCTAAGTGTTGAGTTTGTTTAACACAGGAACCTGTCTCATGAAGAGGAACTACATTGCGCATGTTTCTTGTGCCTGGCTTACCCTTTTCCCTGCCTCCCCTTTTCCACAGCAGATTGCTTCAGGACTGAGCTCAGGGACCATCTCGTCCAGGAAAAATTCTACTTTTGTGGCCTTCTCCTCTTCTAGAGTAGAAGCTCCTTGAGGGTAGACACTCTTGTCACTGGTTGTACACCCACCATGCCTTGTCCTAGTAGACAGATGTTTCAATGTTCATAACAGAGATTACATTTTTGTACTGATGTGCAGTCCATGAGCTAGAATCTCCTTCATTTTTTTGATCCCTAAATTTTACTTTGAGGTGACACACACACACACACACACAAACACAAACACAAACACAAACTCTGGGGTGCTTCAGTCACCTGAGTCAGCTCAAACATTAAATGTTTCCTTCCTAGGAAATATTTAATAGCGCTTTTTGGCAAATTTCTCACAGCTGACTCAGATGAAGTGTGTAGGAATATGCTACTTCAGCCTTTAGCCAATAAATAAGTAACTGCCCAAACTGCACAGTAAATAAGTAAAAAGCAATAACACTTTAAAAAGTAGCTTTGGTTTGGTTCCTGTCAAGTAAACTCTGACTCATGGCAATCCCATATGTGTCAGAATAGGACTGTGCTCCACAGAGTTTTCAATAGCTGATTTTTTGGAAGTAGATTAGAGTGGATTTATTCAAAGCTAAGTGGTGTTAATGATAAAATTGGAGTGGAACTCATTTTGTTACCTAATTTTTCTTCCTAGCATATTGCCGCCATATAACAGGGTAAATGTTCATCTGAATTAGCCTTTTGTAGTACCAGTTCAGATTTATGAATTAAGAAGCTGTAAGGCATATCAGAATTGTCTCTTGGATGGTAAAGGCCTTAAATTATCTATATCACCTGCTCCCATAATACCATCCCCAGGCACCTAGAGTTCAGAAAAAAATTAATAAGATGTCACAGGCTCTAAGAACAAGAAACTAATCATATTTGGGCCTGATGTAATGTGGTTTGGGGGATAAGAAAGCTAATGGAAGCCAAGGTGGCTAACTTTCCAACTCTGGGGATGTACAGTCTCTGACCTCTGTACCTCTCTCTGCATATCTGCTTTAGATTCTCCCTCTCCTTCCCTTCCCCTTCCTGGGCTTGCTCACTTTCCTTTCTCCCCTGCTTCTTTATCTTGCACATTGCTGCCAACCCCAACATTATAATCTTTCAGCTCCATGCCTGTTACTGACTTATTACAAACCAGTCAAACCAAACCCATTGCTGTTGAGTTGATTCTGACTCATAGCAAACGTATAGGACTGAGTAGAACTGCCTCATAGGGTTTCCAAGACCGTGGTTAAGAGCTTGGCTGCTAACCAAAAGTTTGGCAGTTGGAATCCACCAGCTGCTTCTTGGAAATCCAATGGGGCAGTTCTACTCTGTCCTATAGTGTCACTATGAGTCAGAATCCACTTGATGGCAATGTTTTTTGGAATCTTTATGGAAGCAGACTGCCATATCTTTCCCCTGCGAAGCCGCTGGTGGGTTTGAACCTCTGACCTTTTGGTTAGCAGCTGAGTGCTTAACCACTGTGCCACCAGGGCTCATTTGACTTATTATAGTTTCCATATTTTAGGTCCAGCTGTCAGGAGAGGAAATCTAGTAGGCTGGCTTCTCTATTCAAGCCAGGCTACAGGTATTACAGGTTGCTGGTAAGTCAGTAGAGTGGCTGCATTGAATCAGGTGTCCACTCCATGTTCAGTCATCTGTGACCAAGTACGTGGAGGGAAGGGAAGAAAGCAGTAGCTGGTTATCCACGAGTCTCCTTTCCAGGCTGTTGGATCTCTAAAGGAACATGGTAATACAGGTAATGAAACCTAGTACAATAAAAATAAATCTACTGTCTTTAATACCTGTTATATGATGGCAACAGGTTTGGTCTGGTTTTGGTTATATGCCATATATCTAATTTCCCCCAAACTTTTTGTTAGGAAAATTCTCAAACAAATAGAATAGTTGAAAAAATAGAAAAAAGATTACCCACATACCCTCCCCTGTATTTAAGAATTTTTAAAAATTTACTATATTTGCTTTACTTGTATATAGCTTAAATTATTTAACCAATTCTAAGTGTTAGATTGTTTAGTTTTAAATTTTTTGCTAATATAAATTCTAGTGTGAAAGAATATCTTTATGTACTGCTCATATTAACTGAAGATAAATTATAGAGGTAAAATTCCTAGGTCAAATGTTATAAACAGTTATAATTTTGATACATGCTGTTAGACTGCCCTCCAGAAAGCATATGCCAATTTATTTTCCCCCCGATAGAATGTGCCCATATCCGCATAACTTCATCAACAGTAAGCATTGTCAGTCTTTGTAATCTCTGCCATTATGATATAAATGTTGTTTAGACTAAGGCAGTAGAATATGTTTTCAAGTTAGTTTGGTATTGCCTGTTCACATCATTTATCCAGGTCACCCCTCCCCACCTTGCTTATTTGATGTGTTCATCTTTTTCTTTTGGACTTATGGGAATTTTTGCATATTTATATATTATAAGTATTATTTCCTTTTGGGCATTTGTCTTGCTTTTTTTTTTTTTAAGCCATAAACAAAGTTATTAAGATCAGTTAATTTATTTGACAACCAGTATTAAAATGTGAGGACCGTGTTTTTATAACACCATGTTGGGGTATTATAAAATGGTTATGATAAAAAGATTGGAAACTACTTCACTAGTGTAAATATTATCCTTACCCCCATACACTTGTAGATTCATGGATAAAGAAACTAAGGTCTTCTTGGTGATGTGACTTCCCACCATATGACAGTTTGTGGGCCGGCTGCAAGTTGCTTTTGATATTCTAAGTAGAACTGGAAAACTGAAGATTGAAAGAGAAGTGGAACCTAGTCCAACCATCCACCTAATATTTTATGCCAACATCCCTGCCAAGTGGTTATCCTGCCTCTATTCTGATATTTCCAGTTCTAAGGATTTGCCATCTGTCTATCACCTCAGTAAAACTGATATAGTGCTCAGAAATGGGACCTGCCTTTCCTGAGCAAGAGTAAGTATCAGGACTGGAGCCAAGCAATGAACATAGTTGGAGGAGCCCCAGTCAAAAATGTTGTGCTCTCTCCTGCATTATCAATTTCCCCTCTTTAGGGGATCATACTCTTCAACATGCAAACATACAGTTATTTCTTCCATCCTAAAGTGTATGCTCTCTTGATACCATTTCTCTCTTCAGTTTGGAAGTTATTGCTTCATTTCTCCTAAAAACTTGATAAAATTGTCTATACTCTGTCTCTAGTTCCTTTCTTCCCATCCAGTCTTATTCATTCATATATTGTCTAATTTTGTATTATGGAAAAATTTCAAGCTATATAAAAGTTGAGCGAATAGTATAATGAACCCTTATGTACCTATCAAGATTCCTGGGTGGCTGGACTACTAACCAAAAGATTGGCAGTTCAGACCCACCCAGAGGTGCCTCAGAAGAAAGGCAGTCTGCTTCCAAAAGGCCACAACCTTGAAACCCTATGGAGCTCAGTTCTACTCTGCACACATGGGGTCTCTGTGAGTTGGAATCAACTCGATGGCAACTGGTTTTGTTTTGTTTGGTTTTATCTTCTTATCACCCAGCTTCAACAGTTATTAACACATGACTAATCTAGTTTCATTTATATTCCTTTCTCTGGATTATTTGAAGCAAATCCTAGACGTTGTATCATTTCATTTGTAAATATGTCAGTATGTATATGTAAAAGATAAAGGCTTTAATAATATTAACATTTTAATAATATATATAACCATAATACATATAATCATCATGTGCAAAACATTAACAAAATTCCTTAATACCTTCAAATAATGTCTTCATATATCCAGCTAGCATTCAAAATTTCCCTGATTAAAAGTTTTACACTCGGCTTGATTGATTCAGGGTCCAAATAAGGTCCACACATTGCATTTGGTTGATAGTCTTAACTCTTTCAATCCATAGGTTCCCCTCCCTCTTTAAAAAATTATTTTTTTTTTCTTACAACTTATTTGTTGTAAAAACCAGGTCATTTGTCCTGTAGAATTTCCCACATTCTGGATTTTGCTGAATGTATCCCTGTGGCGTCATTTAACATCTTCCTCTTCCCCCTGCATTTTCTGAAACTGGTAGTTAGATCCAGAGGTTCATTTTCTGTTTCATCCCCACCAGTCCATCCAAACTGCTCTTGTTATGGTCACTACCCCCATTCATCTTGCTAAGCCCAATGACTAGTTCTGAGACCAAATCTTACTTTTCCATGAGCGGCATTGACTCAGATCATCACGCTCTTCACCTTGAAACTCCTTTTCATGTCCTTGGCCTCAACTCACCTGGTTTTCCTCGTGTCTCACTGGCAACTCTTTTAAGTCTCCGTACCTTGTCCCCTTAAGGTTGGAGTGTTCCAAATCTCAGTCCTTTGACTTCTTTATCAACATTCATTTCCTCAGTGGTCTCATTCGGTCTCATGCTTTTAAATAGCATGTCTATATAGATAACTTCCAAATTAAAATCCCCAGCCTAGACCTTGCCCCTGAGCTGTAAAACTTATATCCATTTATTTATATGACATACCCATTAGACATCTCAAATTTAAAACATCCCAAATTGAACTCCTAATCTTGTCTTCTAAAATATGCTCCATTTATAATCTTTGCCATCTGAGTTCATAGTATCTCCATCTTTCCTACTGCTGTCCAAAACAACTTGGAGTCATCCTTGATTCTTCTTTTGGATCTCATACCCCACATTTGACCCACCAGCAATTCTTGTTAGCTGTGCCTTTAAAATGTTGTATATTCAGAACTCAGCTGACTACTTCTCATCACCACTTCTGCTACCATCCTGGTCCAAGCCACCTTTATATCTTGCTGTAGCCTCCTAATTCCTAACTGGTATCTTTACTTCCATCTTTGCTTTTCTTCAGTATATTCTTAATAAAGCAACTAGAACAATCTTCAAAACTGAGATCGGCTCATGTCTCTCCTATAAAACCTCATTTTAGCTTTCATCTCACTTAGAGTAAAAGCCCAAATCCCCGCAATGGCTCCTAAGGCCCTACGTAATGTGACTCACCTCTCTCCCCTACCCTGTCTGACCCTATCTTCTACTGCCCTCTTGCTCACTCCATTCCAGGCCCAACAGCCTCTTGGTTGGTTTTGACCATACTACACTCTTGTTTTTTTTTAAGAAGTGGTCTTTTATTGTATTAATAAAACTGTCCCTGATTTCCTTTGGGGCACACCAAGGAGTCCAGAAGGAGACATAAGTGAGGGGACCCCTCTCAGATACAGTGACTTTTGCACTTGCTCTTTCCTCTTCCTCTTCCCCAGATAACCTCATGGCTTGTCTCCTCACCTTTTCAGATCTTTGCTAAGATGTCAGCTTCCCAGTGAGGCATTCTCTGGTAGTCCTTTAAAAATTTTTTATGCCTGCCAGTCCCCACTCCTCATATTTTCTATCTCTCTTCCCTGCTTTGTTTTTCTCCTTAGCACTTTTAATCTTCTGATTTGCTAACTTCTTATATAGTTTATTGACTGCCTACTCCATTATAAGCTCTATTAGGACAGGGATTTTTGTTTTGTCACTGCTGCATCCCTAGTGCCTAGAACATTGTCTGGCATGTAGTTGTTGTTGTTGTTAGCTGCCGTCAAGTCAACTCTGACTCATGGTGGCCTTATGTACAACAGAATGAGACATTGCCCAGTCCTGCATCATCCTCAAGATCACCAATATATCCAAGTCCATCGTTGCAGCTGTTGTGCCAGTCCACTCACCAAGGGTTTCCCATGCCTTCACTGGCCCTCTACTTCACCAAACATGATGTTCTCCTCTAGCGATTGATCCTTCCTGATGATGCTGCGATGCTGGAAGCTATACCACTGATATTTCAAATACCAGCAGGGTCACCCATAGTGGCGTGCAGTAGGCACTTTTAAAATATTTTTTCAGTGAATGAGTGTGGTCTTTATTTAAACCCCATGGGAAGAGGCTGCTGATATTTATCACTAGATAATGACAGCGTTTTTTGTTGCCAGCAACTAACATTTATCAACCCACTGTGATGGTTAAGAGCTATGGCTGCTAACCAAAAGGTTGGCAGTTTGAATCCACCAGCTGCTCCTTGGAAACCGTATCATGCAGTTGTGTTCTGTCCTATAGGGTCCCTATGAGTTGAAATTGATTTCGACAGCAACGGGTTTGGTTTGGTGGCTTTTGTGATGTACCAGGGATTCAAGGAGCTTACCCTATTGAATAAACAAACAACAAATTATTTTGCTAACAGGCATTGCTTTTTTAACATCATTGTACAAACTTCACTGTATTTTTTACTCATGTTCTTAGATGTCTATGATTGAAGATAGAATAGTTTACGGCAAACAAGGAAAATGTTTAATTCCTTAGATATAGAATTAAGATGGAATGAGGTACTGTATTTTTATTTTATTCTTCTCTTGTGCTTGTCCACATCTGTGCTTGTATACATGTAAGATGGGTGCAAGAGGTAGAATTTTTCTTGGGTTGGTCTCAGGGGAAAGACTGTCTTGAGAAGACTGGCCTTGGGTGGGCCAAGGTTCCTTTTGAGACCTAATCCCCAGGAGCACAAAGGATCACATAGCTAAGCTTGGTGAGAGACTACAGGAGTTGTGGTTGATTGGGAGAGCATTACGTGGGGTGGAGGACAAGAGGGGAGATACTAGGAAGAATGTTAAAAAATAGATTTCTAGACATTTCACAAAAGAGGATATTCAAATGGCCACCAAACACATGAAAAGATGCTCAGTGTCATTAGCTATCAGAGAGATGCAAATCAAAACCACAACAAAATACCATTTCACTCCCTCTAAGATGGCCAAGATTAAAAAAACAGAGGATAACAGATATTGGTGAGGATGTGGGGAAATTGGAATTCTTAAACATTGCTGGTAGGAATGCAAAATGATACAGCCATTGTGGAAAACAGTGTGATGGTTACTCAAAACACCAAGAATAGAACTGCCATATGACCCAGCAATTCCACTGTTAGGAATATACCCAAGGGACTTGAAAGCAGCGACACAAACCGACATATGTACACCAATGTTCATTGCAGCACTATTCACAATAGCCAAAAGTGGATGAATGGATGAACAAAATGTGGTATATGTGCAATGGGTTACTACTTGGCCAGAAAGAGAAATGAAGCCTTGATACGTGCTATAATATGGATAGAACTTGAAGACATGCTGAGTGAAATAAGTCAATCACGAAAGGACAAATATTGTGTGACCTCACTTATATAAAAAGATAAGAGCAGGTAAATATATAGAACCAAAACTTATTGGTGGTTACCAGGGGCAGGAGTGAGGGGGTAAGACAGAGCTACTGCTTATGGAACACTGAGTTTCAGTTTACATTGATGGAAAAATCACACTGATTAAGGGTAAGTGTTTTACAGCCGACTAATTGATGTCAATAAGTTGTACACCTCTAAAAAGTTAGTTGGCAAATGTTGTGTGATACACTTACAACAACAATAACAACAAAAAGAGCGGCTGCTGAGGCTGTGTATGTACCACCATATACCTCATTGAATTTGGTTTCTTGGTTTGGAGGTTTAGGGTCATGGTTTCATGGGACATCCCAGTTAATTGTCCTAATATTGTGTTTGGTGCTTCTGTTCTCCATCCTGGTTTGTTGTGTAGTGCCTGGGGTCTTAAAAGCTTGCAAATGGCCATCCAAGGTACAACAATTGGTCTGTATTTACCTGGAGCAACAGAGGAAGGAAGAAAGCCAGGAATAGAAGGAGGAAGTAGAATGTTTGGCTAGTTGCCTGCATAAATAACTGCCTCCTTTGCCATGTGACCAGAAGAACTGATGGCACCTGGCTACTATTACTGAACTTTTTGACCAAAGATTATATAGAAGAATCCTGATAAAAAGTGGGCAAAATTCAGAACATAATTTCAAATTCTCATGGACTCTAGGCTTTCTGGTGCCATGGAGGCCAAATAAATTCCCCAAACTATTGCCCTGAAATAATCTTT